TATATATATATATATATAACTCCAAGTTGTTATAGGAATATAATTTTATAGTTTTTTATAAAATCTTTCATTATATTGAAGTATGTACAAGATACAAGATATTCTTAGTATATACAATAGACTCTAATTTATCTAGAAATATAAACACTGTTATTTAGACCCCCTTATATGGACAACAGTGTTCCTCAATAGAGATAACATAATTATCAGTGAGTTCCTTTCTCCATCTCAATTATTTGTTTCATATGTCAACAACTTTACATCCCTTGTTTGACATTTAAAGAGCCTTGTGAGGGTTAGAAAATGACACATCCTTTGGACCTAGCTTAAATACTCCTCTTCAACTTCCTTCTCTCTCTCCATCCTTTTGAATCTTGCTAACTCTTTTTTTCTTTTTAATTTCGCTATCTTCTAAAAATAAAATGAAAGGTAGAGAAGAGGGTAGATAATCTAAACAAGCACACTATGCTGAGTCATTTGTCCAGTTCTCCCAGTTTGCTTCCACATTTAGAGCCGGTGCTGATTGATGAATGTGGCTACTAATTGATGAGATTGGATAATGACTGATGGGATCGGACATAGCTTGGAGTGCCATTCAACCTAAGTGGGCCATTTGTTTGGTCAATGGTAGGCTGCGATGAGGCCGTATGTGTCCCTATATTAGATTATCCACTGTATACCTAGTGATATTTTAGTGCTTCATTAATCCAGTTTAATGTTCATCAATTTGTGTGCTTACTAGGTTTTCTGAATTGTTTTTTGGTGCTTCACATCATTGGAATGCCTTTTGATTTCACTCATGGAATAGCTTGCTGCTTATGTGTTCTTCCGCAAACATCAAATCAACTAGCCAAGCACAAAGGTTTACTTTGATCTCAACCAAGAAAGAGTTTAGGGTTTGCAAATATAAATTCGTTAATTATTAATGATAGCAGCGGGTTTTTTTGGATAACTAAACTTAGAAATAGATAGTCAATTTAGATTTGAAATGAATTTAGATACTCGATAGACATTATATTCATATTTATAACTCTTAAGAGGAGTCGAATGCATTTGTTACGTATAAATTTGTTAGATAAGATCTCGGACCTTTAATTTTTAATAAATAAATTAAATCTATATCATCAGAGTTTAAAATTTGTAAGACGATAATTCCTAATGTTATTTGACTTAGTTAAAGTAGATCGGGAACTATATCATGACTTATGAAAAGGACCTATAAATCAGATCTATGTCGTATAAATTGGTTATTAATATTAAATTTTAGATTTTGATGATAAAATTAATTGATGAGTTTACGATTTAATATGTGCTTTGAGAAAAATGATACAGGACTAATTTCGATCAGAAAAGACAAAACGATTAAAGTAAGAAGAATCAAACGTTGGGCCGAACTCAGAAATCGGGTATCGGGTTGGAAGAATCGGACATTATACCAAGATCGAATATTGTAAGAGTTAACATGTCGATGGATTGGGCGATGTGCTAAAGGTTCGAACGACGCGTTGGAAGTTTTTCGGAAGTTCGGATGAACAAATGATATGCCAAACAACTTAGATTTTTTATCTTGTAATTATTTAGATCTTAATTATAGTCTTAAATTGAGTTAGTTTTGGTATAACCCTACTAACTCAATTAAGAGCCCATTGGGTTTAATTTAGGGCTAGGTTAAGCCCATTAAGAGGCCCATTCAGTGATCCAGAGTTAGATCAGGCGGTGGAACTGCCTTTGAGTTGGAATATATGAAGTGTATGTTTTCCGGAAGACCCAACGGTGGTAACGCTAGTGTCAGGTGGTAGTACCGCCTAGATTGACAATGATACCACTAGTACACATAGTCTCCCATGTGTCAAGCGATAGTACTGCCCAGAGTAGACAGTAGTATCGCTAGTTGTTAGTTTGGCAAATGGTAGGACCGCCTAGTACTGGTGGTGGTACCGCTAGTATACTTTGGAAACCTATGATAAAACCTTTTTTTACTCTATTTTTGAAGTCATTTGGGGCTAATAAATACCCCACTCTTTTTTGCTTGAGGAAGCATGAAAAGAGAACAAAAAGCTTTGTGATTCTAAATTGTAAAATTATGAAAAGTGCTAAGTGTTCCTCTCCTCTTTAAGTTTTTTGTTCTCTTTTCATACTTGAAAGAAGATCGGGTAGTTGGTCTTCGCCCATTGAAAAAAGATCATTAGTGAACACTGGTAGCCTTGACGAAAGACAAATCGGGAGTGGACATAGGTCACGACAACCGAACCACTATACACTCGGTTTGCAATTTATGTTCTGCTTTTAATTATCATTACTTGTTGATTTATTGTCTACTACTCTTACTTGCTACACTTACGAACGCGTTTAAGTTAAATGTATTTATGATATAGTTTCATCGAACGAAATTTTCTAAATCATCGAAGTTTTGTGAAAGCACTAATTCACTCCACCCCCCCTCCCCCCTCCCCCTCCCTCTCAGTGTCAAAATAGTCCTAATAGTTGGTATTTGAGCCAAATTTCTCTCCATTGATTTAACACTAAAGAGAGACTTTTTGTTGGCAATCTAGAGGGTTAATCTATCACTCGTCCTCCTATGTTCGATAGGATGGACTATACGTATTTGAAAACACATGTGAGGATTTTTTTAATTTCTATATACTTTGATTTATGGAACATTGTAGAATGTAGTTTTAAAAATCCTATAGACCAATAAATGAATGGAATGATCTAGAGAAAAAATCATTTTATTCAAATATGAAAGTTATGAATGCTTTATTTTACGCATTCATAGCTTTTGATACATAGTTTTGAATTATTTTGAATGAAATCAAGTCAAACTATTGGAAATATGTATACCCATTTTACGGATGTCGTTAATGGTTTGAAAGCATTTGATAAAAGTTTTTCTAATCTTGAACTTGTTAATAAAATTTTAAGATCTCTTCTAAAAAGTTGGGATCATTAATGACCTATGAAGTGACTTGTTTGACACATGACAAACATGAGAACAACCTTCCAAAGAATATGAATGATATACCAGTCATAGGTACCCTATAAGCTAATCACGTGAGTGATGACATGTGTGATATGACACGCGTTCTTTTATTTATTATTATTATTATATTTTCTCACTTTATATTACTTGTTTCATACATATATTATGATGCTTATGGATCTGTTCAATGGGAGTCGGATCGTGATGAGATCACGATAATGAGACCGATTCACCTCTAAACACAAACTCTAAATAATCCTAACTTAATGGGATCACCTCTCAATCCTAACTTAATCTACATGCTA